CCCTCTCCTTCTCCCTCTCCCTTCTCTTTCCCCTTCTCTTTTCCTCTCTCTCTCCCTTCCTCTCTCTCTCTCCCCCCTCCTTCTCTCTCTCTTCATTTTTGAAATGCAGATATAAAGCAAAATCTAGTCTTCTAATGTTTATCTTGTTAGTATTATATTTTTTTCAGTAAAGTACTACCTATTTTATCGACCTTGAATAAGAAAAATACTGGATAAGGTGTTTCGAAGCCCCTAAGAGATTTCACTTATTTCAGGTTAACTCTATCTTAAAGGATATGCCTAGAAATATTCAGTCTTTTTTCTGTAAGCTACCTGTAACAATAATTACCATATAGAACATATATTGAATGCTCAATGAGTCAGCCCCAGTGTTAAGTAGTTTACAATAATGAACCCATATAAAACAGTTTGGTGTGCTGATAACATGTAGAAGTGATCTATATTTTTATTTTAGCTTTAATTTGTTACCTACATTAATACCTGAATGGATGAAAGCTTGTAATTTGTCTAAATTCTACCAGGTCTTTGCTTTTTTTCATTTTTACCTGTACTAACTTTTCAGATGTTCTAAGATGGTGGTTCTCAACCTTGCTAACACTGTGACCCTTTAATACAGTTTCTCATGCTGTGGTGACCCCCAACCATAACATTATTTTCCTTGTTACTTCATAAGTATAATTTTGCTACTATCATGAATTATAATGTAAGTATCTGATATGCAGGTTATCTGATGTAGGACCCACAGGTTGAGAATCAATGTTCTAAAAGACCATAGTGATGCACACGTGCTCTTGGATTGTCTAAGGCTGCTTCAGGCTTGTGGCAGCGGGAATGGAGTCTAATGAGACAGTGTATTCAGGTAGAGGTTTTATTACTGTGGTTGTCCACTCTGCTATGACTGTTCTGCTTTGCTTATTTTAGGTTTTTTGTGCTGAAATGACAAAAAGGTCGAACGAGCTGAATCTCAGCAGTAATAGTGGTGAGTAAGAAATTAAGAGTTGGGGCTGTAAAATCAGCAATAGACCTGTCATACATGTATACTAACACCAAGTCTTGGGTCTCTGTGGAAAAACATTGAAACAGATGGCTATAAGCTAATGTCAACAGGTAGCTTTTGTGGAAATTTATAAGCCTGAGTAGTCATAGACCTTGTAAATAGGTAGCCTTGGCAGACAATACCAACTTAGATAAGGACAAGTGAATCATAGGCAGAGTCATAGTGATCTGTCTCCTGAACCTTCACCCAGCCAATACCATGTTTTGAAAGATATCTGTATTCCCCTTGAACACCCACACTTCGGTGTCATCCCCTTCCCCCCCCCCCCCGTCCTGCCTTTTTGTGTTTATAACCCCTGTGTGAATGAGTAAATTACAATTTGAAAAAAATAAATAAATTATATATATATATATATATATATATAGTTGGGGCTGGAGAGATGGCTCAACGGTTAAGAGCACTGTCTGCTCTTCCAAAGGTCATGAGTTCAATTCCCAGCAACCACATGGTGGCTTACAACCATCTGTAATGGGATCTGATTCCCTCTTCTGATATTTCAAGGACAGTGTACTTATATACATTAAATAAATAAATAAGTAAATAAATCTTTAAAAAAATCATTTCCAATTTAAAAAAAAAAGAAATTAAGAGTTTTACATGCATTCCTGAGTTTTACATGGAGTTCCAGGTTGTATTCACCTAAAAGCAAGTTTGAGGCCATCCTGAGCTACATGAGACTCTTTTCTAAAGAAGAGGTGGGGTGCCTGTTCATATATTCTCATTGCTGATCTGATTCGGGAACTCTGACCTAGTCAAGCAGGTCTTTTCAAAAACTGTCTAGTTGATCTCACGGCTGAGCTAGGTTTGTGATTGCTGGGATAGATGGGTTAAAGCAGTCTTGGATGCTGTGTGCCTGTGAGTTTAGTTCTGTCTCACTCTTTGGGGTGGAATGTTTAATGGCTCTTCAGGCTGGAAGTACAGAAGGGGCAACTCTATCGAGAATCTTGGTATGGTGCTTCTTAGGAGCCTTTATTTGTCTGTAGCGTGGTGATAGTAACAGTAGGTGGTTGTGGACCAGTGAGGTGGCTAATCAGATAAAAGCACCTGCTGCCAAGCCTAATGACCGGAGTCCAGCTCCCTGAACCCATACAGAAAAGGAGAAAACTGATTCTCACGGATTGTCCTGTAACCTTCAAATGTACACACGTGCGCGCGCGTACACACACACACACACACATCATCATCATTTAAATAAATAATAGATAATATTTGGATCATTATCAATTATCAAAAGATGTTTTGTAAGTTAAAATTACAAAGCATTAAACCAGTTCCAGGAGGCAAATAAGGAGAAGATGGGTAAACTCCTCAGGTAGACTAGGGGAGGGGAGGAGTCAAGAATGGCTTCACAGACAAGAGTGTTTCAAAGCTGAGCTTTGGGATGGAAAGATTTCCATCGGCCAACAGTGGTGGGGCAGTCCTTGACATGGATAGAACCCATAGGAGCAAACACACACAGTTCGTGTTTGTCGTACCTCATGGAGTATAGAGGAACAGGTGAGAGGTGGACTTTTAGGCTAAGGCAAAAAGGGAATATGAACGTTCTATATGTCATTAACCTAAAGCACAGCGACAAGGATCATGATTTATTCAGTAGTTCTTGAAAATATCTGTGAAGAAATTAGAATTTACTTTTATTAGGAAGATAATTAACATTGATAATGTCTGATAAAGATTATCTTAGGTTATCAAGGGAAAGTTATACTAGCCAGGGATGAAGAGAAGCACATCTTTATTAGACATATTTATGTAATAAGTAGTTAATTGAAAACATTTTTGTTCTTAAAAAAGTTACCCTTGGTGATTTGAACAATTTTGTGATCTGAAATAATTATTCTCTCCTAATAATGATGGATCAAGGAAGTATCACTGTGTACTGTTTTTGTGTTTTTCTAGAAAGTAATGTAAATTCCCCTCTCCAGAAGAGGGCATTGCGTCCCATTGCAGGTGGTTGTGACCACCATGTGGTTGCTGGGAATTGAACTCAGGACCTCTGGAAGAGCAGACAGTGCTCTTAACCGCTGAGCCATCTCTCCAGCCCTGTTGTTATCCTAAACACTGGCTTTTATGCTTTTATTTCCACTCAGCTCCCTGTCTCCTCCCTTAGAGTTCTGTCTTAATGCTTTCCATAGCATTCCTGGTACCAACCATGATATTGCAGAGAGATGTTGACTACCCAGTTGTATCATCATCATCATCATCATCACATCATCATCATCATCATTTTTAAAACTTTTAGTTACAGGAGGAGGGTGGGCATATGCATGTAAGCGCCTTTTGCCTGGAGAGGCCAGAGATCCCTCTGGGGCTGGAGTTAAGAAGTGGTTGTAGGTTGTCTGATGTGGGTGGTGGGGATCGATTGCTTCCAGATGGGAAGAACCATCCAAAAGGATGTCTTCTAGAGAAGCAATACACCCTCTTCACCACTGAGCCATCTCCAGCTCCTCCCCCTTTGTCTTGGGATCACTGCTAGGAAGCAAGGTTGTGTCAACATTAGTACTAGATATCCATACCTACTAGCTTGGTGGACATGATTAGTCCTACTGCCCTGCATGTTTCTTGATGACTCTGGGAATCTTAAGTGACTTCATTTGTAAGAGGAATAGTTCCTATCTCATAGGATTGTGAGACTTAAATAAAATGTGTAAGGCTCTTGGAACAATGTCTGGAATAGTTCTCAACTTTCTTTTTCTCCCACTCAAAATGTTGTTTCTGTGACTCAGTCATGTAAAGGTAATTTCTTTTCATCAGTACAATGACAATCCATTATTGAAGGGCATCAGGTTATTTCCATTGGGCAGTCAGTTCCAATGTGAACCTTTAAGATGGCTCAATGGGTAAAGGCCCTTGCCTAAAAACCTGAGTTTGATCTCTTAACTCCTTTAAATTGTTCTCTGGACACGGATGGACACACACACACACACACACACACACACACACACACACACACGTGCTCTATGAACCTTGCAAAACTTCCCAATTTCTGTCTGGTTGGTGGGTGATAGTCTATTTCTCAGATTGTAATCAAGATAAGCATTTTTTAACATAGATGCAAGCCGTAAGGTCTGCTTCTCTGTGAAATATTTTGCTTAACTGGTTACCAGTTTGCTACTACTTTTCTAAAAATTAATATTTTAATTAATTCCTTTCCCGCCCTCTATTTTATGCATCTATTTATCTTGAGACAGGGTCTCCTATTGCCGAGGTTAGCCTCAAAATCTCTATGTAATTAAAGCTAGCCTTCAATCCCTGATCCTCCTGGCTCTGCCTCTCAAATATCGGGATTATAAGCACATGTTACAACTCTCAACTTCAGTTTTTTGTTTTTTTAAAATGAATTTTATTCCTTGGATTCTGTAGCTTTAGGTATTTAATTTTAAATCTGGTAGGTACAAGAGATTAAGGGATATGTCACTCTAGCAGGTGAGAATAGGTAAACTCACTTATGTGTGAATGGCAAATCACACCCAGCAGAGGGTAGATACGGATAAAGCGTTGCCTTCTAAGCTAACCGGTATGTCTTTGTTTTTTCTTCCCTTAGGAGGCCATAAGCTAAGCATGTAGATTCTCTTTATACCTGGTGTAGCATTATAGGTAGATGGGTCTTAGCTGCTGTGGCTGAGAATGGCAGTGATATCCTTGGGGCATATAGTGGCTGTGATGTTCTGTGATCCTTAAATATTCATCAGCTTTCCATATCTGTTTTTGATAGGTGTTTTAGCCCTGCAGTGGACCAGAGGGGAGCAAAGAAGAGGCAGCTTTGAAGATGGATCTCCTGCCATCAATCTCATGGGTGTAAACGTGGAAGACATGTATGAGGCCAAGGAGTGGATTGAAAGGTTGCTGGCCTCTGAGGACCACCACATCATTGAGAATAATCATATTCTCTACCTTGGGAAGAAAGAGCATGGTATGCTGTCTGAGCTCCAGACAAGTTTAAGTGTCTCCATTTCGGAGACTGTCAGTCCAAGAACAGCAACTGTAGAGATTAAAGGTTCCCAGGCTGACCTCATTGAAGCAGTTATGAAGATTGAATGTATGCTGTGTGATGTTCAGGAAGAAGTGGCAGGGAAAAGGGAGAAGAGTCTTTGGAGCTTGTCAGGTGAGTGTCTGCATATTAAATTAAAAGCCCCTACTAGGCATTGTGCCACACACCTTTTATTCTGACACCTGTAAGGTAAATCTATGTGAGTTCCAGGCCAACCAGGGCTACATACATAGAGAGACTGTCTGAAAAGAAATAAATACATAAAAATTAAATGAGGCAAAAAGAGTTTGTTAAATTTCAAGTAAATGTCCTTCTAACTAAGGGATGAGGGAAGTGTTAGTATTGGTTAATATTGGTATTAGTATTGGTTAGTGTTGGTATTAACAGTAAATTTGTTAAGTCAGGGCACAACAATAATATTCCAAAGTGCTTTCTGCAGATAAGATGACACAGAAACAGAAAGAAGCAAAACAGTGGACCCCGATCTCCCAAAGCCAGGTAGAATCCCAACACACGGGACATAGAGGCAGGAGGGTCAGGAGTTCAAGTCTACCCTCAGCTACAAAGTGAATTGGAACCTAACCTGCCCTACATAATATACTGTCTTCAAACAAAAGTCAGCTCTCCCAGATGTTTCTTCTAGTAGCATATATTTGTATATTTGTGGATAATAGACTGAGTGAAGAAAATAAGTCATTCTGGCTCAGGGTTAGGTTATTTGCTTTTCATGATTGAGGGTGTAAATATTTTTATTTATTCTCTGACACTTTCATACGTGCATACAATGTATGAAATTTTGATCATATTCACCCCCATTCTTCTGTTCCACTTTCTCTTAGACGTCCCTGTTGGGATGACCCACAAATATTGTATTTACTGGTTGTGAAAAAGTGTGTCCCTGTGTTCTCAATTGTTAATGGCTGGGCTAGGCTGCACCAGGCTAGCAGGATATGTAAATGTTTGTCACAGTCTCACAAACTCCAAAAGAAAGAAAGGCAAGTGCTGTGGAGAAGGTCATATTGCTCCCAGTGCCAACTGGTTGAGTTTGCATAGTAAAGAGGTAGGGGCTGGGTCTGGGGCTTGAGCAGAAAGACCTGCAGGAAAGAGATACCAAGTGGAGAGACTCAATGGCAGGTAATTTGGGTTAAGTTTTGATGGGCTAGATAAGGAACAGCCCCAGCAAAGAGGCTAAAAGCTTTAAATTGTATAGATGTCTATGTGTCATTATTATTATTATTTTATTACTTTTATCCCTGCCAGTGTCTTTATTATTATGTTTATTATTAACCCTCAAGTGGGACCTGTAAAAGCTCCACGGTATCTCCTCCACATTCTCTTCCAACTTCATGTCCTTTTTAAAAAGTCCACTGAGTCCAATTGGAGCCTTCCGTATGCTTGAGAATCTAGTGCTATCCAGTGGACCATGAGCAACCTACTGGACTACATCCCTGAGGAAAATGGACTCTTTTCTCCTAGTAGCCATCAAATACCATAGTTCCTTAGTTAGAGGGGCCAGTTCCTGCGGCTCTCCCCTTTGCATGTTCAGATTTTGGCTGACTTGATTTTATGCATATCTGGTACAGGCAGCCACAGCTGCTTCGAGTTTCTGTTTCCACCAGCTCTGTTATATCCAGATTCATTCATTCCTTCCTTCCTTCCTTCCTTCCTTCCTTCCTTCCTTCCTTCCTTCCTTCCTTCCTTCCTTTCTTCCCTTTCCTTCCTAGAAAAAGTCTCAAGTAGCCCAAACTGGCCTTAAACTCATTATTACATACCTAAGGAGAGCCTTGAACTCCTGGTTCTCCTGCCAGTGTGGCTAGGACAAGCCACCTTGGCGGAGGTCTGATGAATAGAAAGCTGAATAAGTGGCAGCTAACCAGAGGAAGAAATAAGCGTACAGGGCTAGTGAGCTGCAGTGGCACATGGTGTGACTGCACTCGGGTACAGGCAGAGAATCAGAAGTTCAAGGCCATCCTCTGTTGCATGGCAGATTTCAGGCCAGGCTGGGTTACATGAGGCCCCTTCTTAAGAAACAAGACCAGAGCCTGGAGAAATGGCAGGTGAAGCAAGTGTTGATTTTACAGAGGACCTGGGTTTTGTTCCCAGTACCCACATGGCATCTCACAGCCACCTTTTAAGTTCAGTTCTAGAGCACCCGATCCTTCTCCTTACTTCTGCTGCTACCAGGCACACACATAAGAACCAAAATTATGTTCTTCATTTTGTTTTTGATACAAAATGAATGTGGATATTTACCTGACACCGCTGTTAGCTCAGGAGGCCCAGGATTAGCAGTGTAGAGTCACGGAAGTCTCATGTTCTCCTGCAAAATGGCAGTTTTGATAGAAGACTGGGCATGTTGCTTCACAGTAGCATTTCAGAGGTTCACATGTATGTCTTCTTTTAGGTCAAAGTTTGTGTTATTAAAAGAGGATAATTTTGATATTCTTTTATTCTATGGGATATCAACTATATATCAGAAAATTTAAACAAAAATTGACAAGAGGCAGTGTGAGGGTCCATGATTCACAAAGAATGATATCCCAGACTCAAATAGTATGTAAATGCAAGAATGTTTTAGTCTGCAGAAGTCCAGCATGCTGGGGTCTCCCATTACCAAGATAGAGAACAACCAAGTGAGCTCGCAGGCCTGATTTAAAGCACCTTAGAGGATTCAGGAGTAGGTGACCTCTATCTTACTCCATCTCTAGGGACATTCCATTATGGGGTGTGGGGGCTGGAAACTTGCTGGAGAGGTCTGGAAACTGTTGCTGACCCATTGTCCTTGCTTCAGGCAAGGTGGCAGGGCAGCTTCTGAGGGCAGGACTTGCTAGAACTGCCCAGTTCTTGAAAACAGATTTAGGCCTCATCTCTTGACCTGCCAGTTTGAGGTCTGTCAGGAGTCAGCCTAGCCTGGTCAGCAGACCCTCCTTTCAGAATGCTGTATTGTTTCTGATGGTTACTTCTGACAGTACAAGCTTGTGGATCTCTGTGTCTCCGGTGCCCAACCCGAGTAGAGCCTGGTATGCAGCAGGAGCTTGGTTAGTATTGTTGAATTCCAGTGACCTACAAGCCAATCTCATGCTTTGTGAATATGTAATATGCAGTCTCTTTCTTTGAGGTCGGGGCTCTGCATGGCTTCTGCTTGTGTGCCTCTTGTTTTCTTAGATTTACAACTTAGCCCTCTCTGGAGTTACTTTGAACTTATCACCTGTATTGCATGATTGAATTAACGGCTCTTTGACCAGGCACCATGTTTGGGCTTAGGCTGTTTTACTATGCTTGTTCTTGAGTCAAACTGAAAATTTACGGGGATAAAGCAATCTATCCCCACACCCCCACCCCCTCCCTGCCACCATTTTTGTTTATCTACCTGTGTGTTCAGTCAAATAGAGAGCTTCCTTGGACAAAAACATTGGATTTCAAAATTGAAGGAGAGAGGAAAGAAGGGGAGAGAGGAGAGAAAGAAGGAAAGGGAAGAAAACAAGGAACGGAGGGAGGAAGCAGGGGACACCATAGATACATTCTTCTGCTCTGATTTCTGCTCCTGCTCAAACCACAGGTGACATATGTCATGTCTCCTTGTAGAAGACACAAAGGAAAGCCAGGTTTCTAATTGTACCTACTTAGCTGTGTTGGGCAAGTTGCTTAACTTCTCTGAATTTCTCCTTCCTTAATTCTAAAGCTGTGTTGACCACTTCCATGCTGGTTTGATAAGAGGAGGTAGAAGAGTGAACGGGTCTGGAAACTGAAACGCTGTATGAATGTCTTGTTGTCTCCCATGCTTTCTTAATTTTTAATTTTTTTATGTGTATGGGTGCTTTCCATGCATGGTACATATGCAAGGCCTATGTGCCATGTGCATGCAGTGCCCATGAAGGCCAGAAGAGGGTGTCACATCTTTTGGAACTTGACCTACGTTCTGGGAATCAAACCCAGGAACCTAGGTCCTCTGCAAGAACAAGTGCTCTGATCTGCTGAGCCAGTTTTCCCCCTTCATGTTTTCTTAATTCTTACTTTGCAGCCTGGCTCCCGTACGGACATTTCCTATGAGCAACATAAGTATTTCCTATGAGCATAGCATTGCTGTAGGGAGCGAAGTATAACCAATGCCTCTCCCTCACATCTCTGTAGTCATATGACTCAAGTCAACAAGAACAAATTGATCACCCCTCTATTTTATCCTGTGACTTAATGCACTGCAGTTCTAGAACCAGGGGTTTAGGGCTCCGGTAGCCCCAGGAGACTTATCTCAGCCACCCTTCCCAGGACTCAGAGCAGGAGTAGGAAAAAGCAGAGGAAGATTTCAGTAGTTTACATTAGGAAGAGGAAGGGATCAAGGGTTCCCAGAGACTTCACTTTCTTCTGGTTACTTATGTGAATTTTGAGTTTAATTCAAGAATGAGTTATGGGGCTGGTGACATGGCTCAGCAGTTAAGAGCTGAGTCCTACCCTTTTGGAGGACCTGGGTTTGATTCCTAACACAGGGTCACTAAGAATCTCTAACTCCAGTTCCAGAGGATCTAATGCCCTCTTCTGGTCTCTGCTTGTACTGCATGCACACAGTACACAGACATACGTGCAGGCAAAACACACATGCACATAAAATGAAAATAAATCTTAAAAGAAAAAAGAATACTTTGAGGGTAGGCAGAGAAAGCAAGCAGTCCTCATCAAGGTTTTTCCTGCCCATCATTACCTCATCTCAGGGTCCTACAAGGTGGTCTCATAAATTATTGTTAATAACAGACATCTAAGGCAGGGACTAACCTGGATTCTACAAGATCTGTCTCCATCACAGACTGTTGTTTTCATCTTGGAGGTGGTCGCAAGGTGACTGAGGCTTAGGTGTTTTCAGCCTTAAGATAAAGTAGACTGGTACTCCTTATTAATAGACATACCTGTATACTTAGGCCTGAAGTAAAAGAGACAAATATGAAATGCAGAGGTGGCAGGCTTCTTCTTGTTTTAGATACCTTTAGAACCAAAAGAAGAGCAAGAGTTTCTGTTTCTTTTAATCAGAAACAGCTCCTGAGTACCTGGTACAGCTCTTCTGGCATGTCCTAAACCATACGAAGCATATGCTCCCAGTGGAATAATCTGCTACATGTTTAGATACTTATTTATTTTGGTTTTTCGAGACAGGGTTTCTCTGTGTAGCCCTGACTGTCTTGGAACTCGCTATGTAGACCAGGCTGGCCTCAAACTCAAGGTGGCCCAAACTCTATTTCACCAGCATGCATATACCAGGCACGAATATCCTGTGATCTCCTCCTGCCTCTGCTTCTCTCACCTGCTGGGATTAAAGGTATGCACCACTACTGCCTATCAAGAATTTGTTTGGGGGCTGAAGAGATGGCTCAGTGGTTAAAAGCACTGTCTGCTCTTCCAGAAGTTCTAAGTTTAAATCCCAGCAACCACATGGTGGCTCACAACTGTCTATAATGGATCTGATGCCCTCTTCTGGCATGCAGGTGTACATGCAGATAGAGCACTCATAAAATAAACTTACAAAAAAAAAAAAAAGAAGAAGAACATTTTTTAACCCCTGTGTTCATGGAGCATTGAAACAAGGTTTTTTCTTATTTTTTATTCTTTTATTTTTTTAGGACAGGGGATTTACCAGCAAGGAAAACTGGATGAAATGGAACAATCATACACATTTCACCGATACCCAGTGTCTTTAACTCAGGAACTTCAGGACCGAGAGAAACAGTTTGAAAAGTGTGGCTTGTGGGTTGTGAAGGTATATCTAATCAAAGAAGGCTCTGGTTTACTGAGCTGTTAACTGGTTCTGTAGCCAAAATAAAAATTCTCCTGCCAAGAATTCAGCCGCTCAGTCACCTGGAGTCTGGAATAAGACTGGGTGGGAATACAGACCTGAAGAGTAGAGTTGACATCAGGAGGTAGACATGATGTCACGACAAGCAGAGCCACAGATTCAAGATTTATGAGCAAGTGTCTACCTATCACTGACCTCTACAGTGGAAAGCACAATGTTTAGCCTGCCGTGCTACCTCTGTTTACCTACTTTTATCTCACTAAACCATTAGCTTTCATCGGACATATACTTTGTATTGCTGGTCATTTCAGTACCAGTGACTGCACATGCTGATGACACAGTGTAGCTGTGCGTGTAGCAGGACAGACATGCCTGGAGTGTGTATGCTGTTGAAATAAAGCGGCTTCTCCAGTTAAAGTGTCTCAACAAGGCAAAACTTTACTTCTCGTCAGCAGGGCGTGCCACTCAGAAAGCAGAAGAGCCAGCACACTGGGCAGGGAGCTCACTCTATATTCTAACACAGGTGGAGACTGTGTCCTGTCCCCATTGACAAGGGTCTGACCTCACAGTCTCTGGCTTGGCTAGCTTTAAAAGAAACAGTCAAAAGGAGATGAAGGGAGCCGGGCGGTGGTGGCGCATGCCTTTAATCCTAGCACTTGGGAGGCAGAGGCAGGTGGATTTCTGAGTTTGAGGCCAGCCTGGTCTACAGAGTGAGTTCCAGGTCAGCCAGGGCTATACAGAGAAACCCTGTCTCGAAAAACCAAAAAAAAAAAAAAAAAAAAAAAAAAGATTAAAAAAGTCGGGTGGTGGTGGCACATGCCTTTAATCCCAGCACTTGGGAGGCAGAGGCAGGCGGATTTCTGAGTTCGAGGCCAGCCTGGTCTACAGAGTGAGTTCCAGGACAGCCAGGGCTACACAGAGAAACCCTGTCTCGAAACGCCCCCCCCCCGAAAAAAAAGAAAGAAAGAAAGAGAGAAAAAGAAAGAAAGGAGATGAAGGGAATGGGGGAGCAGAGGAGTGCCAGTGCCTAAATTACTTAATCTCTGAGAATGCTGCCTGGCCTTTGTAAATAAAGTTTTATGGGGTAGGGAATTAAAGCATTTACATAAGAGTCTTACTAGGTCGGGGAGATAAAAAGATTTGAATTCCTTCTCATAAAAGACTGTCAGGAAAGACTTCTATTTGAGGTCTCTAATATGTGGAAGTCAAAAAAACTTTAGCAATTGTCCTGCCTCAGGACATTTCCACAGCTCACCTTGGTTTTTGAGAGTGTCTGTGGTGTTTTGAATGAGAATGCCTCCTCACCCCCACCCCATAGGCTCATACATTAGAATGCTTGGTTCCCAGGAGGGTTTGGAGGTGTGGTCTTATTGGAGGAGGTGGGTTTCTGGGGCTGGGCATTGAGCTTTCAAAAGTTATGCCAGTCTGTCTTGCTCTCTGTTACTGTTCTGGCACATACCTGCTTCCTTTAAGAATGATCATGGACCAAACCTCAAAACCTGTAAGCAAGCCCTAGTTAAATGCAGTCTTTATAAGAGTTGCCTTGGACATGGTGTCTCTTCACAGCAATAGGACAGTAACTAAAACAGGGTCTCTCACTTCTACTTGAAACTTGCTAATTAGGCAAGCTTGGCCAGCCAGTGTCACGTGGCCAGCCAGGGACACGTGTCTTCCCCAGTGCTGGCATTCCAAGCACATGTCACATGTTTGGCTTTTTAAAAGTCTGAGGATTGAACTCAGGTCTTCGTGCTTTCAAGCCAGCACTTTACCAACTAACCGAGCCATCCACCAATCCTGTGAAGTTTTATTAAATTACTTTCTTTTCAGACAGAGTTTCATGTAGCCCAGGCTAGCTTCATACTTTTTATGTAGCTGAGATACCTCTCTACCTGTCTCTCTACCTCTGGCTCTAAAGGCCTACAACTGACGTTATTAAATGTATTTATTGAAAAAAGGGGTAGGTAGATTTTGAAGAGAGAGAGAAGCTAAATTAGGAGAGGACTGAAAAGCAAACTTCATGTATTCCATCCACATAGCACATGTATTTTTCAAGCAGTGCAGGAAACAATTTAAGAAGCCATTTTTCAGAGCATCAATTCTCTTTTCTTTGCTTATAGGTGGAACAGATAGACAATAAGATGCTGCTGGCTGCCTTCCAAGAGAAGAAGAAAATGATGGAAGAGAGGACGCTAAGGGGATCTGGGAGCCAAAGGTTGTTTCAGCAGGTCCCACATCAGTTCTGCAATGCGGTGTGCAGAGTTGGCTTCCACAGACTATACTCGACATCTTATGGTAGGTATCAGGGTTTTCCTCTGGGCTCGTCTTCAGTGCTGCCTACATGGGCACAGGCAAGCAGACATCAGTGGATGGGCTGCAGGGAAGGGATCCTTTGCTCCTGGGCTTCAGAGGTGAAGTCTTTTAGAAATGTTGCTCTTTTAACTCTTTTGTTTGTGGGCAATACTTTGATGTGAGTGTGGACAGCAGTATCGATGGTTCTGTTTTTTTTTTTTTTTTTTTTTTTCTGAGACAGGGTTTCTCTGTATAGCCCTGGCTGTCCTGGAACTCACTCTGTAGACCAGGCTGGCCTCAAACTCAGAAACCTGCCTGCCTCTGCCCCCCAAGTCCTGGGATTGAAGGTATGCGCCACCACCGCCCGGCTATGGTTCTAACTTCCTTCCTGTTTCTGTATTCTAGCTATCCTGTCTGCAGAGAGCACCCTTACCCTTCTCATTTCAACAAAATTATCAATACCAACTTCTCATTCCTTAGTTAGAAGCTTACATTTAACTTAAAGTGACTTAGTTACTTAAGGAAGTAACTTGAAGAAACTTGTGTCTTGTGCCCTGACAGAGTCTATGTAGTCTATGTAGTCCTGGCTATCCTGTAACTCACAGAGATCTGCCTGCTGCCTCCCCTCTCTCGTACTGTTACTAGGATTTAAGGCATATACCATCATGCCTAGCCCTTCCATCCTCTATTTCCTGTGAATGAATCAGGTATGTATAATCTGGCAGATGAAGTGTCCCCTCTTATTTATTAGTTACTGGTATGAAATGGGTTGGGAGAAGTGTAGTGATAACTCCCATTTTGAAACAGGAGAGGGAAAACACAGAACACACACTGTGTGCTGCTGGAGAGGATTGCTCAATAGCCTTTGTCCCTTTCTAGGTCTGCTGCCTAGAAGGGGGGACTGCTGCCCTTGGACTGCCTCACAGGCTAGAAGATGGTCAGATTATTGTAGCCAGATTACAATTTCTCCAGCAATATGATTCCTTTAAAGATTCAGCAAGCTCAGTGGTTCAGAGCACTTGCTGCTCTTACAGAGGACCCAGGTTTGATTTCCAGAACCTACGTGGTGATTCTCAACCATCTGTTACTCCAGTTCCAGAGGATTTGATGCCCTCTTCTGACCTATCCAGGCACCAAGCACATACTTGGTGCACACACATTGATGTAGGCAAAACCACTCACACATAAAATAAAAATGAATAACTATAATTTTTTTAAGAGTCCAGCCAGCAGGGCTGGAGATGGCTCAGAAGTTAAAAGCACTTCTTCTTCCACAGGATCAGAGTTTGATTCTTAGCACCCACATCGTGACTCACAACCATCTGTAACCCCAGTCCCAGAGGGATCCAGTGCCCTCTTCTGGCCTCCATGGACGCTACATACACATGATGTACAAACGTACACAAGCACTCGCACAGACACATAGAAAATAAATGAAATCTATAAACATACAAAAATAATTTAAAAATTCAGCAAGTAGGAGGATTCATTTGAGGTCAAGTTCATGTCTTCATGATCCCACAAGGGGACACAGAATCCCTTTTTCAGGATCCTGGTAACATCAATAAAACAATTTAAAAAATGGACTCAGCAGGGAACTCAAAGATTACTTTGTTGGAGCCAGAGAAAATAATAGAGCAGGCAAACAGGCTGAAAGTCTGTGCACTGGCCTGGAGGGGGGAGGTGGAAATAGAGGGAACATTAGACTTGCTGAGCTTTAAGTCAAGACAGCAGGCAGGCTGAGCAGTGGGAGTCTGTGGCTTCACAGGACACAGTGGGTGTAGTGAGCTCCAGAGACAGTGAGATGCCCCCATCAGGGCAGACAGGCTTAGGATTTTGGTCAGGAGATAAAAAGGGGGTGTTAGGCTGAGGAAGAGGGTGGTTGCAGTTTCTGGGTCAGAACAAGTTACATCTCTTTCTTATTATTTTGGTTCTACCATCTGGAAGAAAGGATATTTGAACTGAGAAAACTTCTCTAAAAAACTATCATGCTTTATTTTCCTGTCATTTATAGTGTAAAATCAAAACAGAAAAAAACATGTTCTCAGTCCTCCAGGTTCTCAGCCTTTTGTTGAAGAAAACCTTCACAGACAACTATGGATGCTAGAATTTTAAGACCATGATTCCCTTGTGAATTAAAAATAAACATCTCATATCCATATATTAATATATATGGCTATATTTTTATATGTGGACATATGTATTAAGAGGCTTTGCAGCTTTATCTCTTTTGTCCTTGAGGCAATATTCAAAAGGAAACTTTTGCAATGAAACTTTTATTTATTTTTAATCTCAGACTACTATTGTTTTGGCACTGTCTCTTCTGGGTTTACATTTCAGGGAGCTCTCTTTGTGATGTTTTCAGAACAGAAACATCACCATAGCCATTTATCATGGACTGCTCAGTGTAGCAGCCTCCAGCAACCCATGGCTACGGAACACAAGAAGTGGCTAATCTGAATCGAAATGTACTGTAAATACGAATAAAATAGGTACTGGATTTCAAAGTCTACTATACACATAAAATATCTCTTTAGTGAAAATTTTTTTTTAAGTATACAACTTTTTAAAAGATTTAATTTGTGTGGAGTAGTCTTTTTCCTGCACGGATGTATGTGTATTACCTTACATGTGTGCCTGGTGCCTGTGGAGATCAGAAGACGTGGGATCCCCTGGAACTGGAGATATGTATGGTTGTGAGTCACCATATGGGTACTTGGAACTGCACCTAGGCCCTCTGAAAAACAAGCTTATAACCTCTGAGCCATCTCTCCAGCCCCCTCCCTAGTGAACTATTATACTGATAATTAGATATTAAAATGATACTTTAATAGTTTGATTTGATCCTTTTGTTGTTGTTGTTTGAGACATGGTTTCCTCTGTGTAGCCTTGTCTGGCCTGGAACTTGATTTGTAGACCAGGCTGGCCTGGAACTAACAAGAGATCTGCCTGCCTCTGCCTCTGCCTCCCAAGTGCTAGGATTAAAGATTATCAACTGATCTGATTATGGGCTGTCAAGAAGTGATTTATCTGCAATTAAAACATAAAAGGATAAACAATACAAAGCAAACACAAGTATCATAAGTGTTGCATGATTTAGCACACCGAGCAATACCCAGAAAACGAGTGCCCCACTGCGCCTAGCTCCTTATTTTTTTAAGAGTGGCTACTAGAAAACTGTTAAAGTGTCACATGCAGCTTAAATTGCATTTCTGATTCCCAGTGCTGCTCCAGAGCCTGAGCCGGTGTTTGGTTCAGTGTAGAAGGGACAGGAAGAAGGAATGACACTAGAGCTTCAAAGAGGCTTTAGTGTGGTCCCTCTACGTGATGTTTTCACAGCTGAGGACTGAACCCTGGCCCTGTGGTGCTAATACATGTCACTAAGCTGCATTAAGACCCTCTACAGTGAAGAAGGGCTACTGAACAGGGACCATCCTGAAGCCCAGAATTTGGCTTTTAGTCTGGAGGGGTTTGGTTTGTTTTATTTTCATTTCTGTTATTTTGCTATTTGAGAAAAGGTCTTCCTATATAGTCTTGGTTTGCTGAGAACTCTGAATCTTCCTACATCAGGATTATAGACATACACCACCATGCCTGGCTCTTGAGTGTTGTTAATACCCCAGAATCTATCTTTTCTGGTATAATACAATAGGTGTAAACCTAGTTCATAAACCTAGTCCAAAACAATGGAGGATACTTAGTGGAACATTGTACCAGGCCATAGTAAGAGACTAGGATACCTTGCAAGGGATATGAGGACTATGTTCTCCTAAACCAAGGTTGCTCTTCTTGAACAAACCAAAAACATTTACATTGTTTCTCTTACAATGTCCAGGACTGCCTTCTTGCCCACTCCCCTTTCTCGTTTTGATTTTCATGCTGCTTTCTTAGCACAGGCTAGCCTCAGACTCAATTGTCCTCCTATGTTGATGCCGCCAGTTCTTACTGGATGCTATTTAAAGACTATAGTCTCAGTAGCTGTAGAGATAAACCTATTTGTAGCATGTGTAGCCTGCCAATGTTCTAAGAAAAACACATTTCCTTATTGCTGCTGTCTGGTTAATATTGACTTGAATCATAATGTCTCCAAATCTTAGATTTTCATGCTTTAAATGAAAATATCCAAATTACAGGTTAATTGAATCTAATCAATGTGAAACTGCTTTGAAAGCCATCTACTTTCTGTAAATTCTAATTGTATGTTCTAACATAAAACTATTGTTGATGTTATCAGTGATCTTGTCTCAGGGGAGTAACTTAGGGTGGAGGTCATTACTTATGTGAGTGTCTAGAAAGAGGATACGTATTAGCACCCAAATGGACATCATCTACCAGAATGCATTTGTTTTTTCTCTTTCAGACCCAGTTTATGGAGCTGGCATATATTTCACCAAGAGCCTCAAAAAACTAGCAGACAAGGTCAGGAAAACTTCTAACACAGACAAGCTAATCTATGTGTTTGAGGCAGAAGTACTCACAGGGTCCTTCTGTCAGGGTAATTTCTCAAATATCATCCCTCCGCCATTGAGTCCTGGGGCCTTAGATGTTCATGACAGCGTCGTTGACAATGTTTCCAACCCTGAAACCATTGTTGTTTTTAATGGCATGCAGGCCGTGCCTCGGTATTTGTGGACTTGTACACAGGATAGGACATTTTCACAGTATCATATGTGGTCGCAGGGCTACTCATCAGGGCCAGGAATGGTCTCTTCGATGCAGTCCTGGCAAAGGATCTCAAATGGCAGCCCTGTTTAACGACTGTATCATTTTAAGAAGCAGAAGAGTTTGAGATAACTGACAAAAATGATGACTAACAGGTTATCTGTTCAGAATGACGGGGTCAGTAAAGGCACTGACCACACACTAGCATCTTCGTGCCTTCGCCTTTACCTCTGGGCTTGATTGGGCAGATGCCAGCTAAAACTTCCTGTCTTTTCTACTTGACATCTTTCATCTCCTTTCCTAGGTGACAGCAAGAATACTTTACATAGAACAAGGATATTTTTTTTCAAGTCTGTTATTTTCTAAAATGATAACACAAACTAGGACAACAGGATGATTTCAGGTTTTCTATATAATTTTATAAAGTGCTTTGGATATCCAAATAAATCACCTTGTCTGAGTAACTGGCTGTGAATCGTTAATGTGTGAAATGGAATGATGCAAACTCAAAGGACATCAAAAGTTTAGTCATATCAAGCAGTGCCACTCGATGCTGGGTATGGTGGAGTGCACCTTTAGTCTATGAACTTGAGAGGCAGAGGCAGGAGAGATCTCTGAGTTTAAGGCCAGCCTGGTCTGCAGAGGAAATTCCAAGACAGGCAAGAATATACAGAGAAACCCTGTCATGGAAAAACAAAACAACCATCTCCCCACCCAAAAAAAAAAAAAAAAAAAAACAACCCGAACAAACAAAAATCCAATGCCATTCATCCATTATATGGCATATGGATTAAGTCACCAAGCATTTATTGGTTACTACAAGTAGTTCTGTCACTTTCTGGATGCAAGAAAAATATCTCTAAAACATTTTATCCTGAATAATCAGAAAGGCAGATATGGACACATGAACAAGTATGAATACATATAGTTAAAGGAAGATTACAAGTCAGAGCAGGACACACACATCAAGGACTTGGAAGAAGCTTCAAAAGCAGCAGAGGCCTGAAAGTAAGTGGGGGCAGAGCTAGGAGAGTGCTGTAGGCAAAGAGGATAGCTCGTATAGGGACTGAATCCAAAATAAAAGAAAAAGGTTGAGTCCACCCCAACAGGGCCTGAATTTGACTTTAAGGTGCTATTTGTAATAGAGAGGCTGATCTTACCATCTATGTACTGCCTACTGTGACATTCATATTTATCTGTAATTCTAAACCTCTGACCTCTCACTGTTCAATCTTCAACTTCTCATAAGAACATTCCCTTCTGCTCTTACCTTAAGCTGTATTCTCCTTGTAAGAAACATGCTTATTCTATTATATGGTACTGTCCTAAAATCTGGGCTCTACACTATTGGCTTGAAAGGTCTCCACCTTGGTCCTTTGCTTGTGAAATCCCATTTTGGGTCTGTTATAGCTAGGTCCATCAAAACAAAGTAAGATGTCCACAGGGCCATGACAATGGACTATTGAAAGGCTGTAATACGCACTCCTAACCCAATCATTTCTAGGTATCTAGAAATCTCTGATTTCCTGCTTAAGGAATTCTGAATTTGTTTGCAGAACACAGCTTGCTTCCCGGCCCCCCCACCCCCAGCTTTCTCTAAAACAGACTATATTGCAGTTCAGCTAGAGATGTACTCAATGGTAGAGTGCTTGCCTCTCCTGTGCATGGCTGTAGGTTCAATCTCTAGCACATACACATTTAAAAAAATGTGGGTGGGGCTGTTGTTGAGATGGCTCAGTAGATAAAGTCACTTGCTACCAAACCTGATTCCTTGAGTTTGATTCCTGGGATTCACATTGTTCAAGGAGAAAATTGCAAGTTGTCTGACTTCCACACAACACACCCCCACTTCCTTCCAATAAAAATAAATGTAATAGTGTGGTACGAATAGGTTTGGCCCTCACAGACTCATGTGTTTGAATGCTTGCCCCACAAAGAATAACACTATTGGGTATGTCCTTGTTGGAATAGATGTAGCCTGGGAGGAAATGGTAGGGGCAGGCTTTGAGATCCTGTGCTCAAGCTCTGCCCAGTGTAGAAGGGATCCTCCTGCTGGCTGCCTGTGGATTAACATACAGAACTCTTGGCACCTCCAGCACCAAGTCTGCCTGCAGGATGCCATGCTTCCCACTATGATGATGACGGATTAAACCTCTGAAAATGTAAGCCAGTCCCAATTAAATGTTTGCCTTTGTAAGAGTTACCTTGGTCACGCATCTTTTCACAGCAATGAGACCCTAAGACAAACAGTAATTAAAAAAGGAACAGTCAAAGGGTGACTAGTTGTCAGGATAGTGCGGCCTGCATGTGTTGACTGAGCGGTACCAAGCTGAGAATGAGAGAACAGGTCATCTGTGAAGAAGCCATGTGGAACACAGAGGGAGTGGGCTGACTAAGCTGTTACTATAGTGAAACACAGTGGGGAAGGATTAATATTTTGGAAATAGGATTAGTTCTACACTTTAAAAAAAAGTCCTCAGATGGGCTGGAGAGATGGCCCAGTGGTTAGGAGCACTGACTGCTCTTCCAGAGGTTCTGAGTTCAATTCCCAGCAAACACATGGTGGCTCACAACCATCTGTAATGGGATCTGATGCTCTCTTCTGTATCTGAAGATAGAGACAGTGACATATATATATTTTATTAAATAAATCTTAACAAGTCCTTAGAAAAAGGAAAGCAAGTTAAAATGTACTTCCCAAGTTTCTTTAATCCAACTTATTTAAAATTTAACTCCAACTTTGCAACCACAGATTACGTCTGTGCTTAACAATTTTCTTTATGGAAAGAGGTTTTACATATAGTGGGTATTATTATTTATTTTGTGGTCCTAGGGACTGAACCTTAGGTATGCCAGGTAAGCACTCTATGCTGACAATATCCTAGCTCTAGAAAAGATGTTTAACTTAGGGTGGCATACAACATGTATCAGAATGCCTTTAAAGAAGCTTCTAACCTGCTGTGTCAGTAAATGAAACCTTCATTACTCTATGTTTGTGTACTGTTTGAGAGAAAATTTAGCTTGATGTCATTATTTTGCAATGATTTTGCAATGATTTTGCAATGATTATAGGAACCACTGTTATGCAGGCAAAAAAGCAGAGCTGCAAGTCAAAATTTCATATTTGACTCTCTTCAGCTTTACCATTATATGTGTGTGTGTGTGTGTGTGTGTGTGTGTGTGTGTGTGAGAGAGAGAGAGAGAGAGAGAGAGAGAGAGAGAGAGAGACGCGCAGACTGACTTCCCCCAAAGGCTTTAGGCAGTTCATGGAAGTATTCATGGAAAAGGAAATGGAAAGAAAGAATAAAAATACTCAACCTTCTCAGGACAGAAATACATCATTATTTTTATTTAATACAGATAATATGTATTTAATTAGTTCTTTTTATTGTGCTTCTGTTCTTATATTTATATACTTTAACGTACAGACTGAGAGGCCGAGCTTAGTTGGTAATGGACTTGCCTAGCGTGTGTGAAGCCCTGGGCTTCATTCCCCAGCACCACTCCATAAAAACAAGTGTGCAAAAAGAATATAGAATAATATATCCTACAAAGTTCAAACAGGCAACAAAGAATTAAAATAAGTTGCTGAAGCAAAGGGATAGACACATTATAAAATATGCCACACTTTTGTTACACCTGTTACTTAATTCCTGTACTTATTACTAGCTGCCAGATTTAACTAGGCCTGTTGCTATTTTGTTTTTAGTAACAGGATGTATGTAACAAAAAAGAAATATAGATTATATAATTCTAAGTCAATTTCTATATATATTTTTTTGTCATTGTTTTGTTTTTTTGAGACAGGATTTCTCCTATGTAGCCCTGGCTGCCCTGGAACTCAGAGATCTGAGTTCTGCCTCTGTCCCCTGAGTGCTGGAATTGAAGGCATGCATTGCCATTGCCTGCCTTTAATTAATTAAAATGTCTGTTTTTATATTTGAGTAATAATATAAATCCACATTTGTATTGTTTTTATTTATTTCTCTGTTAGGTTGACAGGGTTTTTTTCCAGCTCAGCTTGCAGAGGTTTTGAGACAGGGTCTTACTATGTAGGCCATAGAGCTTCCTGCTTCTATCTTTTCGAGTGCTGGGATTAAAGGTGTGTGCCACCATGCCAAAGTATGTGCATTTCCGTGGGTAACCTTAGGTGTGGTTCCTCAGGAACTGTCTACCTTGTTTGTTTTGTTTTTGAGAAGTTCTCACTGAGATCTGGGCCATGCTGATTAGGCCATTAGGCCAGGCTGGCTTACCAGCGAGCCCCAGGGATATTCCTATCTCTATCTCCCCAGAGCTGGGATTAAAAGCTCAAATCAACATACCTAGCTTTTTGCTTGGATGCTGGGGGTTGAACTCAGGTCCTCAGACTCTGGCCAGTACTTTCCTGACTGAACTATCTTTTACTCTAAACCTGCAGTTTTCTAGTTGTTTTAAAAACAGTATCAGTATGTATGTGGTCAGTTGGGTTTTAATTTTCATAGACAAAAAAAAAAATGAGAATGATAAAAGTAGTAACATATGGAATTCCTCAGTGGGTAGAGCTTTAGCATAGGAAACCTAAGAGCATGCCCCTACAGTTACACTTCCTCCAACAAGGCCTTATCTCCTAATAGTGGTCAGTTGGGTTTTAATTTTCATAGACAAAAAAAAAAAATGAGAACGATAAAAGTAGTAACATATGGAATTCCTCAGTGGGTAGAGCTTTAGCATAGGAAACCTAAGAGCATGCCCCTACAGTTACACTTCCTCCAACAAGGCCTTATCTCCTAATAGTGACATTCCCCGTAAGTCTATGGGAGGGATGGGAGGGGTGGCAGGCCATACATACCCATTCAAACAGATTCACAGAGAGTATTCACAGTTTACCTGGATCCTCTGCTCAGGATCTATTGAGCAGCAATAAAGTACATGTTTCTCAAATGAAGGTTCAAGTCCAAAAGATGTTTCTTTCAAGCTTGCTCAAGCTTTTAGCAGAATTCGTTTCTTGTGATTATGTGATTGCAGGCTTTAGATTCTTACTGAAATCTAGCTAAAGGCTATTCAGGTCCTAGAGGCCATCAGCAGGCCCTACCAGGTGACTTTCTATAGGCAAATGACAGTTATGGCAACTTGCTTAAAGCCAGCATGAGTTTTTAGTTTCATAAACACAAAGCAATACTAAATGAAGTGTCATCACAGGAGGCCTTCCACCATCTTTGAGTTCAGCCTGTTGGCTAGGAATAAGTAAGGGGTCCTATAGACATTCAAGGAGTGGTGTAATGGCTATTCTTGGTTGTCAGCTTGACTATATCTGGAATGAACTACAATCTAGAATTGGAAGGTTCACCTTTGGTCCAGATCTTGAGGCTGGGAGATACAAGTTTCTGACCTGGATGTTGGCATGGAGATCTTGAGGCTAGTGGCTATGAATCCCAGGAGACTAAAGCAAGGAGATTTCTGAGTTCAAGGTCAGCCTGGGACAAAACAAGTCCTAGATCCAGGTATGTGGCACATACCTTTAATCTGGGCCACACCTTCTGCTGGAGACCTTTTTAATCTGGGCCACACCTTCTGCTGGAGACCTACATAAGGACATTGGAAGAAGGAAGATTCTCTCTTTGCCTGCTTATATTTACTTGCTAGCACATCTGTTGGAATCTACTAGCCTTGTGGGATTGAACAACTACTAGATCCTTGGATTTCCCATTCACAGCTGACCATTGTTGGGAAGTTGGACTACAGACTGTAAGTCATCATAACAAATTCCCTTATTATATAGACTATCCTAAGTTCTGTGACTCTAGAGAACCCTGACTAATACAGGTGGGGATCACACAGAGCAGCACCAAGAATCAGAGGTCACAGTGGTGGCAGGGTCAGAAGAGTCTTAGACTTCTGTCTATCACATCTAGTGATAGTAAAGACAGTGTCCTGGGTCAGGAGCGATGGCTCAGTGGTTAAGGACACTTTCTGTGCTTGCTAAGGACCTTGGTTTGCTTCCCATTAACTGTGTGGCAGTTCACAACTGTCTGCAATTGCAGTTCCAGGGGATCTGGTACCTTCTGATTTTCTGCAGGTACCAGATATTCACACATATGTTGTACATATATACATACAGGCAAGAGACTCTTTTTTCTTTTTTTTGTTTTTCAAGACAGAGTTTCTCTGTGTAGCCCTGGCTGTCCTGGAACTCACTCTGTAGACCAGGCTGGCCAAAAAACTCAGAAATCCGCCTGCCTCTGCCTCCCGAGTGCTGGGATTAAAGGCGTGCGCCACCACTGCCCGGCCAGGCAAGAGACGCTTAAACATGCTGCAATGTCCTAAAAAATGATGCAATGTCCTAGGGTAAGGCAGTTTCCTTCTTCATATATATAGGCAGTTTAGTTTCATAAACACAGAGCAATACTGAATTGTTTTATTTATTTATTGTGTGTATAGTATATATATATATTATACACACATATGTATATACACACACACATATATATGTATATACATACACATATATTTGTATACACACACACATATATATATGAGAATATTCATAATAGTAAAAATACTGTTCTTTGATTTTTGTATTTCTCAAAATAAAAAACAGAAACATAAAAGACCATACATCTGTACAGGCATTATACTTCTGTGTAAAGGCATTATGCAGCTGTGGTCTACTGTTGTTGAGTTGGGTCAACCCTTCCACTGCTAAAAACCTTAATGAAGAAGTACTGAGGTAGTGCAAGACAGAGAGAGCCCGATACTTGCCCAAGCTGTCCTTTAGTAACTGCAGATTGTAAAAGCAACAGCCAAGACCCTGTCTCATGGGGCTGAGGAGGCCCTGCCAAAGAGAACAGACTTAGAGGATACCTGTGACTTTTGGTTAGGACTCTCAAGGACTATATCCACTTAGGAGTAAGGGTGGATTAGGAAATAACAAGTTTCCACAAGGACTACTCTGAATGAGTCTTAAGCAGAATATAATGGTCAGACATCAACTCAGTTATGGTCAGGCATACTTACCTGTCTAGGGTTTCTATAGCTCTAATAAAACAATGTCACGAAAAAGCAAATTGGGGAGGAAAGGGTTTATTTGGCTTATACTTCCACGTTGTAGTCAGTCATTGAAGGAAGCCAGGACAGGAAACTCCAACGGGGTTGATGCAGAGGCCATGGAGGGATGCTGCTTATATTAGCTTGCCCCTTGTAGCTTATGTAGACTGCTTTCTTATAAAATCCGGAACCACCAGCACACTGATGGTACCACCCACAAATGGCTGAGCCCTCCCCGGGCTCATTAATCATTAATTAAGAAAATGCCTTACAACTGGATCTTCTGGAAGCAAGAATTTTCAATTCTCAATTGAGATCCCCTCCTTCCAGAGGACTCTAGCTTGTGTCAAATTGACAAAACTAGCCCCCAAGTCTCTCTGATAGAACACTTTCTTTTTCCCAAGCGGCTTTGATCAAACTTAGCTTTGATGTAATGAGCATACTGTTAGTGGAGAAGGTGATGCAGAAGGGAGAAAGTGAGAAGAAAGGGAGGGATGGACTGAAGGGCCGAGAAAGTTGTGCCAGGTGCTTTCTGTTGCTATGATAAAACTAACCAAAACAACTTGGGGGCAGGCATTTCAGCTTACAGTACATCTTTGAGGGAAGCCAGGACAGGAATTCAAGCCAGGAACCTGGAGGCAGTAATTGAAACAGATTATGGAGGAATTTGGATCCTGGCTTACTCTCACTTTGTTATCTTATACAGCCCATAGGTGGCACCGCCCACAATGAGTCTCACATTAATGGTGAATCAGGAAAACACCCCACTAACAGGCCTCCAGGCCAATCTGATGGGAGCAATTCTTCAATTGAGGGTCCCTCTTCCCAGCTGACTCTAGTTTGTGTCAAGTTTACTAAAGCCAACACACAGTCCAAGAGAAATAAACACAGCGTTAACACTGCCTAGGATTTAGTCCATGTGGTCCTTTTTCTCCTCCTGCCTTACATTTATAAAAGTATTGACTCATGTCCGTTGCTCCTCAGTATTCCTTTTAAACCGACTTGGTCAACTGTGTCCTGTGTGTGAGATTTTCCTGTGACTTCTGCTTGGCTGTCTTAAAGTGTTCCTTTGAAGCCACCACTCTACTCCCCAGAAAGAAAAATTCCATCATTTCCCTAAACATTTTGTTTTAGCGTGCTTTCTCAGATCAAAGCAATTTTTTTTTTTCTGAAACCTGCCGTAATTGAGATAGGGTCTTTCTACGTAGTAATGCTGGTCTAGAATTCGCCATTCTCTTGCCTCAGACTTCCTAGACTGCCACGCCAGGCTCAACAATTTAATGTCTTATGATATTAATAAATGAACAGGCAAAATGGGTGAGAACTGAAGAGAATACCCAGAAGGTTCTTGCAAACGGGTTGCATGTGAATTCTTTGAACGTGAGACACTGATGTATTTTGTAATACTCCCTCAGCCTCCAACCATGCCATCATTCATCCAATAAGCACGCTCGGGTGTGAGGTACCTACCATGTGAGAGGGAAGCTATAGTGATGTGAGGGGGATCCGTCCATTCTGGAAGAGCTTAGTAAGGACAAGTTTGTTTCCATAACTTCTACATGCCTTCGCTTTTATTGACTGCCAACCTCGTCCTCAGAGACCCACGCCCTGGCCGCTGCCTTTTCCCTGGCCGGTGCTAGCCTAGAGCGTCCACGCTCGGAGACTCTGCTTCCCGGCAGCCCCTGCGGCGGGTGGTGGAGAAGCGCACGCAGGCGCGCAGGCCGGCCCCCGCACGCAGGCGCAGTGCGCACGCCGGCTGAGCTGGGTCTCGCGGCTCTGTGCGCGGCAGCGGAGAGCGAGGCCTGGTGAGCGCCGCCGTGGTGCGCGCCGGCTGGTCAAGGTTGTGCGCAGAAGAGGCGCAGCGGGCGGGCAAAGAGCGAGCGTCTCACCCTCGTAGTGGCACCGGGACCGGTCGCCTGGAGCCGGTGAGTGGGGACTCCTCGCGGCCCCTCCCCCTCGGCGGGCGGCTCTGGGTTCCCTCGGTGGACCCGAGGG